GTGGCGCTGTAGCTCAAGTGGTAGAGCGCTTGCCTTGAGCTGAAGAGCTGAGGGACAGCGCCCAGGCCCAGAGTTCAAGCCCCATGACCGACAAAAAAAACAAACATATTCCAGAGAAGGTGTGGGAAGGGGCGAGGAAGCATACAGACCAAGCTACTGTCATTTGTGCTCTATTGAGATTGTAGTTGAACAGTTCATTTTAACCAAATCTGCACTCCCTAAATAACACCTTCCTGAAAGTGAGACTACAGTATTTGGGGATAAAATACGGTCAGGCTGTGGCCTTCGTTTGGCAGGCTCTCCTTTCCACATTGCCTCCGAATGTGACCAGTGTTTGACACACACTGGGGTTATGCACTGCAGTTCAAAGCCAGCCTCGTGGCCTATGTGTCCACCACATGTGAACCCAATGCCAGGTGCTCAGATCAGGAAAATCAATGTTCGAGGCCAGCCTGGGTATAAAAATTTGAGACTCCATTTCAACAGATGGCCGGTATAGTGGTGCATGCTGGGTGGCACTGCCGCTGGGAAGCACGCTGGCTGTCTGAACGGCACAGCTGTCATCTCCAGCGATTGGAGGAACACAGGAGAGCAGAGCACCTCAGTCCAGGCCAGCCACAGCAAAAAGCAAAACCCCACTGCTCTGAACTGTGGGACAGAAGAAACAATATCATTCATTAAAAAGATGCAAGAGCATGCTTGGCACCAGTGGCTCACGCTTGTTAAAACCAGACTGGGTGGGAAAGTCTGCAAGACTCTTATCTCCAATTAAATACCAAAAAATAAGCTGGAAGTAAAGCTGCAGCTCAAGTGGTAGAACACCAGCCTTGAGCCTGAAAGCTCAGGAACAGTGCCCAGGCCCTGATTTTAAGTTCCAGGACAGGCACGGAAAAAAGAAAAAAAAAAAGAGTATTTCCAGTCAGCGATGTTATTATAAATACTCGAGAGATATAGACAGAAGCTAATTACTTACCTCATGATCATGAGCGGCCTGTCGGGCTGCATCTAAAAGGAGGAAAGAATAAAGAAAACATTAAGAAAAAAGAAAGTAATATCAAAACCCAAGTGTATAATGGTGCCAAACTAAACCTGCTGTGCATGTAGACCTCACTATGTGCAGTAATTTTTTTCAGTCACAGCTTCATTAATGGGTGGTTTGTGCACCCCCCCTCCCCCAAGGAGTTCACAATGAGTCCCTGGAGGACTGGACCCCAGAAACGGGGTGGGAGGACAGGCAGGAAATACACACCAAAGGCTGTTCACACAACCTTAGGATCTAGCAGGCTAGCTGCCCAATGTGGAAAAGATGCCACGGCTAAGGAATGGAAGACTGGCGTGGGTGGTGCTCCTTGGGCAGTGTCTGCTGTGGAAGGGGAACTTGAAGGAACACTTGTGCCGGTGTAATGAACCATTTTAATGGAATAAAACACCCACACATCTGGGGATTTTTGTCTGTCTTGCTCACCGTTGCATCCTGGGTGCCTAGGGGACAGAGAGCCTGACATTTCATGGAAGGTTTCTGACCACACAAATGACTGAATGGAGATCACTTGGTGGGGGTGAATGGCCAATGGAAGGCTCGGCAGAAGAGCAAGGCAGTCATACTTTAGCTCATGTTAGAGGCGGAGAAATGCTTCAGCAAGAATTAGGGAGGAGGGGAGCAGTTTTGGCGTCAAGTCTGGTTATTTATTTTTTATTTTTGTCGGTGGTGGGGCCTGAACTCTGGGCCTGGGCACTGTCCCTCAGCTCTTCAGCTCAAGGCTAGTGCTCTACCAATTGAGCCACATTGCTACTTCTGGCTTTTTCTGCTTATGTGGTGCTGAGGAATCGAACCTAGGGTCTCATGCATGCGCTGCAAGTACTCTACCACTGAGCCACCTTTCCAGCCCCCCATCAAGCCAGGTTTTTGATCCTGGAAGTGGAAAATGAATCAGAAATTCTAAATGGGAGCAATGTCTTTACTAAGACTCAAGATGATGCTTGTAATTAAGTATGCCATGGTGGCACGCTTTCTACTTGTCACTTCAACAGCTGGCTTTGCGGCGCCCCGGCATGCAGGCCACACTGTGGTGGCTTTGGGCTCTGATACCTTGCCTGTGAGATTTGCCTTTCTGACGGTCCTGGGTTTTTCTACTGAAGACCTTGTAGGCTTCCGTCTTCTGGTACTGTTCCAGCTCCTTCATGTACCGCTCCTTGTCTCTGTCTGCTTCGTCAAGGTAGCGCTAGGACACAAACAGGGGAGCATTTTCCAGATGCTAAGGTCTTACTTAGGTAAGATACCTGCTGCCTATTTGAATTAGAACACGAGGAAAAATGCTTTAGGAGAGAACCAGAAAAAAAAAATCAACCATCAGATGGCTAGAATAAGATCTCTCAGTTATAGAATGAGTGATTCTCACTTTCTAGATTATTGATTGCCTTTCTGAGTTCAGTAGCGACCAGCTCTATTGAGATCATGCTCATAAAAAATTCACAAAGACGATTATAATTGTTCCTCTAAGTGTGTCGGCAGACCTGCACATGGCCACTGGTCCCCGGGAGATGTGCACACCGCGTTGGCACATTGAGCCTTCCCAGGAGAAGGGAAGGAATAGTACTTTGTTTTTGATCCACACTGCATTCTGCGGGGATGATGTCATACATCAGTGGGCCTTTTAGGAGTCAGGAGAGTTGGAGTGCTAATGCTGGGGAGACACAAAGAGCATAAAAAGATGACCTCATACGCAGGCTTCCAAATGGACGGCTCGAGAGAGCCTGTGTCTACATGCTCTGCTTGTGCCGTGAATTATTTAAACCAGGTCCACTGATCTGCCAGAATGATTTTACTTTGTGCTTTTTCCATTTCATTCATCAAATTAGGTATAAAAAAAATTACAGAGATTGCTTTTTGGTTCTGGGGCTTGAACTCAGGGCCTGGGTCCCTGAGCTTCTTTTGCTCAAGACTAGTGCTCTACCACTTGAGCCACAGCACCACTTCTGGCTTTTTCTGTGTAGGTGGTACTGAGGAACCGAACCCAGGGTTTCATGCATGCTAGGCAAGCACTCTACCACTGAGCCACGTTAGCAGCCCATAGATATTTATTAATTATAAGGGAGAATTAAAAAAATTTAGCAGGTAAATAACATTAACGTTACTAATGAGGAATAAAAGGATACCAATACTCAGAGAAAGATACCACCTACACAGTATTCTGACAACGAATGCATAACCCACCCTAACCACAAATACCAAATGAGGCGTGTTCTGTGAAAAATAACAACACAAGCAACAACAAAAAGCAGGGGGCCAGAGTGGGGTGAGACTGTACTCTTAATCATCAAAGTAATAAAAGACAGAGCAATGCTACAGAAGTATCTTAGCCCCCCCAAAATGAAAGAGATTTGACTAAAGGCTGACTTTAGACTTGAATCTGTGCTGTAGGGCAGGCTCTTATAAAGGAATGTTTTCTCACTATGTGGGTGATAGATTACAACACTGTGTTAATGTGAAATTATGAACTAGATTAACTATACTACAGTTAATAGGAGAATATCTCCACTCAAGAGATACACACTATAAGCGGCCCAGATGTATGTAATGTTATAAATTCATTCTTCAAGAACCACTGGAGTCACAAGGATAGACATGAAAATAAAGAATTGTCTCAGCAAGGCAAAATTTACTTCTGTACAAGAGAGGGCCCTCAGCCAAAAATCTAGCCAGCAAGCACACAGCAGGCAGGCTTCTCAGATAGTTTATCCCTAACACAGCAGGCCAGGCCCTTCCGCTCCAATTGGTTGAGATCAGATTCACAGTCTGCCGGTGAAGGGCTAGTTTATAAAGGTGTATTTACATAAGGTGACTTTGAAATTAGATTAACAGTACACAAGTAATCACAAAATATACCTGCACCCTCAGCTATTTCTTGAATAATCAGGTTTGTCTTTTGAGGTGTGTCTTAATTCCATTTTGAACAAACAAACAAAAAAATCAGTTTTTAAAACAAAACCTTACATTTCAAAAATCCTTCCTTATCCCAAAGCAGTTCTCTTTTCCTTAACAAGAGTCAAGCCAAACAGGAACTTTAATGGAGCATGCTTTGATAGAAAAGAGTTTTTTCACAGTAACTTGTAATCAAATAGTTTAAAAATCATCCTGTGTGTGTAAGAGATGGGAAGATATCAAGGTTATCTGTGTGCATATGTAAGTACGAGTGCACATTCAAATACAGAGAAATGAGACACAATGTCAGCCATATTTGAAGCTGCCAAAAAAAAAAAAAGGGACAGGGTACCAGTAGCTCATGCCTGTCATCCTAGCTACTCAGGAGGCTGAGCTCTGAGGACTGTGCTTCAAAGCCAGCCAGGGCAGCAAAGTCCTTGAGACTCTTTGGGCAAGCATGATCTCTGAAATGAAGAAAAGTAATAGTTTTGTGAATTCCAAACAATGGTAACTGTGATCAGATAGAATGAGTCGAGTTACATCTTTTTTTTTTTTTTATGTTTGCTCTGGTTTGTTGTATACCCTAGGGTAGGATCTATTTTGGAGAAGGTTCTATGGGCTGCTGAAAAGAATGTGAATTGTGTGGTTACTGGGTGAAATAACTCTATAGATGTCTGTTAAGTCCATTTGGATTATAGTGTCATTTGATTCAGAGGTTTCTTTGCTGGTCTTTTGTTTGGCCGACCTGCCCTTTGGTAACAGTGGGTGTTGAAGTGTCCTGCGATTATTGTGTTGGGGTCTAATCAGTTTTTGTAAGTCTAAGAGTAGCTCAAAACAATGACGACTATGCCATGTGCTCTCTTTCTCTGCCATTCTTTCTTTCCTAATAAGCTTTCCTATCATCTTTACAAAACACCACCACCTCTACCTAAAACAAGAAAACAAAACAATGATATGAACTACTTTCTGTGAGCTGGCTAAGTACCAACTCACAGCTACCAATGGCAACTCAACCTCATCTCCTTGAAAAATCGCTGAACTCAATTCCCAAGAGAGTATTGCCCCCCTACCCCCAATCTTGCTTCAGTCTCTCTGGAATCTATTTTCGAGTGTCAGGCAGTCAAAGACATAAAAGAAATATACATCTCCCAGATGCTGGGAAAGGGGCTTAAAAAAAAAACAAAAACAACCCCAAACCAATCCCACAGCGGCTATCATTCCTCTGCTTTCCTGGCACTACATCTCATGTCCCTAATCTCCTCCAATCTCTCTAACTAATGCATTCATTTCAGTTTGGCAATAGCAATGGCTTCTGCTTTGTAGTAGTTCTGCTTTGCTTTTTGCAGTAGGTTCAATGTGCCAGAACTCTGACATTAAACATTTTAGGAAAGCAGTAAAATCTTTTCACAAAATGCTTCATGTGAATTAGAGAATTTTATCAAATGATTTTTCCCCCTTCATTTTTATTCATGACTTTTCATTTAACACAGTGGAATAAATTACCTTGATAGATTTCTTTAATTTCTTAATATTGACCCACTTTTCAAAGTAATTTTCTGTGAACTCTGAGTGTACACATTAAAATGGATTTGCTTTGACTGAGGGGGTCTGTAAGTCCCTCCTACTCACAGCCCTGCAACACCCACCATAGTTTACATCTCACTGAGCTAGAGCCAAGGGCTGGAAGGCCCTTGCTCTTCTGGTCTCCTAGCCACCATGACAAAACTGAAGCATCCACTGTCCATCCTCTCTGCCTTTCCAAAATAAATTATTTTTTTGTGTCCGTCCTGGGGCTTGAACTCAGGGCCTGGGCACTATCCCTGAGCTTTTGTGCTCAAGGCTGGCATTCTTAACACTTGAGCTCCATTTCTGGCTTTTTCGTAGTTCATTTGAGATAAAGATTGTCTCAAGAGCCAGATGCCAGTGGCTCACGCCTATAATCCTAGATACTCAGGAGGCTGAGATCTGAGGATCGCAATTCAAAGCCAGTCTGGGCATGAAAGTCCGTGAGACTCTTATCTCCAATAAACCACTAGAAAACCAGAAGTGATGCTGTGGCTCAAGCGGAAGAGCGCTTGCCTTGAGCTGAAGAGCAGGTACAAGGACAGTGCCCAAGCCCCGAGTTCAAGCCCCACCACCAACCAAAAAGAAAAAAAGTCTCAAGGACTTTCTTGTCCAGACTGGTTTTGAACCATGATCCTTGGATCCCAGCCTCCTGAGTAACTAGGACTATAAGTGAACCACTGGTGCCTGGTAAGAAATTATTTTTGAGACATAACTAAGAGTGAGCACAGGACCCCGAGTGGGAACAATACCTGCTTCTCTTCAGGAGGCAGTTTGCTCCACTCATTGCCCAACATCCTGGTGATTTCTGGAAATGGGACCTCGGGTCTTTTCGCACGAAGCTGCTCTCGACGCTCGTTCATGAAACGAACGTAGCCCGTAAGTGGGGACTTGGGTGCATTGCTGTCTCGAAGAGGTTTCTTCCTCTTTCTCCCTTTGGACCAACCTCCACGTTTACTTCTTTGCTAGAAAACAAAGCCAAGGGGAAAAAAATGTCACACAACCCTCCCCCCCCCAATGACCCAACAACAACGATAAACAGCACCAGCAAAGCAGAAGAGGCGGGTGCCTGGCTCACACCTGTAATCCCAGCTACTCAGGAGGCTGAGATCTGAGGATCATGGTTCAAAGCTGGTCTCACAAGACTCTTATCTCCAATTAATCACTCAAGAACTGGAAGTGGCACCGTGCCTCAAGTGGTAGAGCATTAGCTTTGGGACAGTGCCCAGGCCTTGAGTTCAAGCCCCACAACTGACCAAAAAAAAAAAAAAAAAGCAGGGTAAGAGCTGGCCTGTAAGGCCCTCAGTGTTCAGAGTCCAGATCTGTCCAGGTGAGTGACAAGCATTCCAGTGGAGCTCACCTGCAGACTCTATGGGGCATCACACTAGACATTAGAACCCTGGTAATAAAGGGCTATTCTGGTGCTAATCCTGGAAGAGGACAACAAGAGGTACCTAGATCATGCAAATTTGGCCTTCACACTTAAGGGGCTGTGGATCCTGACAGAGAAATACTTTATACACAGCACTGTGCCAGGGAGGCAGGCGTTGGCACAGTAGATGAGAATAAGATGTCACAGGCACTGGGCAAAAGAAGAGACAGGCTGTAGCACAGGGATTAAAAATAATTCATGACGGTGTTTCCTGCTGATTCTACTCAAAGACCAGTTTATTTCCCATGGCAAAAAGCACACCAGGTTTTAAATTATTATTTAGGTCTCGGAAAAATTTCAGTGAGGATAATGTATCCAATATGAAGACTAAATTCTTTGGCTGGATGATTTGGTTCCCTAAGATGTATATTTCATAAAGCCAGAGATCTTTATATATTGAATTATTAGTTAAATCAAAGATTAAATCAACTTTAAAAGTGCTAGAGAGCTGAAAAAGGATCGCCATGTTACTGATGCTTCTACCATGTCCTTTTTCCTTGGCCTTTCAAGGAGCCCGAAGGTAATAATATTTTTTGCTTTATAATTTAATGAAAGCCTAATAGTTAATAATGTTCTATGGATCTACAAATTATTTCAGAGAAGATAAACAAAAAGGGATTAAAACATGGAAGAATTAATTCTAAGACTACAGTTCTCTGTATATGTACATGAAGTGGCTTGATGACTCCCCACTTAGGAAGGGCTGTATTTGTTATTAGTTTTAAGGCACCTATAGTACATTAAAGTTACTAAGGTAACCAGACGCTGGTGACTCATGCCTGTAATCCCAGCTGCTCGGGAGGCTGAGTTCTGAGGATTGTGGTTCAAAGCCAGCCCAGGCAGGAAAGTTTGTGAGACTCTTTTTTTTTTTGGGTGTCCGGTCGTGGGGCCTGGGCCTGGGCATTGTCCCTCAGCCCTTCAGCTCAAGGCTAGCGCTCTACCACTTGAGCCACAGCACCACTTCTGGCTTTTTCTGCTTATGTGGTGCTGAGGAATCAAACCCAGGGCCTCATGCATGCAAGGCAAGCGCTCTACCACTGAGCCACCTTCCCAGCCCAAGTTTGTGAGACTCTTAACTCCAATAAACTACCAAAAAAGGCCAGAAATGGAACTGTGGCTCAAGTGATAGAATGCCAGCCTTGAACAAAAAGAATTCAAGGACAGAGCCTAGGTCCTGAGTTCAAAACAGACAAACGAGCAAGGATCCTAGGCAAAACAAGAACTATAAAACAGAACCCTATGTGGCTAAGATGTCCAATACTGAACACCTCCTCTGCAGTGGCTTTTCTAGAAGCTTTGGAGCAGTGCTGGAGGGGACCTCCACTTACCTCATCTTCTTGTCTCTGCTCGCTGCTTTCTGCAGCGTTTGAAGACTCACTCGGAAGCAGCTGGCTCTGGGAGAGATCCTCTACAAATTCTGGATTGTTGCCGGACGACGTGGCTCCACTGCCATAGGGCACTTCGGGGTGCGCTAGCCTGAGCAGCGGGCAGACGGGCAAAAGTTCAGTGAGAACAGCACAGGAAACCTCTATCAGTTACCAGATTCAAGATAAATTCCTCTGCCAGCCAAAGCACGTGCCAGAGCTTGAATGAATTCATTCCACCACAGCAGTCTGTGTAAATGTAGCATGTTTCCATGTAGTTAATAGTGTTTACAACAATAGTTCCAGACTTCTCCATGCAGACTTCCTGTGGGGATGCAACCGAGTCTGACGTTTGTGTTTGTGTGTGTGTGCTTGTGCATGCCAGAGTGTCAGTCTTGGGGCTTGAACTCATGGCCTGGGTGCTGGCCCTGAGCTTTTCTGCTTAAGGCTAGCTAGTACTTTACCACTTGAGCCACAGCTCCCTCAGAAGTAAGAGTCTCATGGGCTTTTCTGCTTGGGTTGGCTTCAAACCATGGTCCTCAGATCTCGGTTTCCTGAGTAGCCAGGATGACAGGCCTCAGCCACTGAGCTTGGCTAGAGCCTGGCTTTTTTATATGCTGCTACCTTTCACATTGTCTCCAACACGAAAGGCAAACAGTATGAATGGACAGTAAGATGAACAGCAATGAGAGCTCTAGAGGAGGCTTGCCCCTATTGCCAAAGAGTTCTTAAAGGGTGTAAGAAATCGTTTACAGCCAGGTGCTAATATCTCAAGCCTATAATCCTAGTTACTCAGGAGGCAGAGGATCATAGCTCTGGGTTCAAAACTAGCCAAGGAAGACAAATCTGTGAGGCTCTTATCTCCAATTCACCAGCAAAACCTAGTAAGTAGGGGCATGGCTCAAGCGGTAGAATGTCAGCCACCACTGAAAAAGCTGAGTGAGAGCAGGAGGCTCTGAGTTAAACCCTGGGGTAGGGTGGAGGCTCCTGCTCTTGAGTTCAAGCTGGGGTCGGGGGACCCTTACATTCATAACACAGGCTAGTTCTTCAATACAGTGTCAAGCAGTAACCAGGATCGGCTAAGAAAAACATCAAGTTCAATTAAGTTCCGGTCTGATTCTTTCTTTGAGGAGCTGGGGATCAAACCCAGAGCCTCATGCATCCTAGGGAGGGGGCTCTGCCTTGCACTCCCACCTCAGCCCTGGCATGAATGCTCACAAATCAGGTGGATCCAGGTTGAACCCTCCACAGGTTTATAAGCAATGGCAGAAGGAAATGTAGAGGTTTGTCAGAGGTGCCATGGAAGCATGGTGGAAGGAGAGGATGCTGAGGGAGACTTCATCAAGGAGGTCTTCCAGGCAGGGAAAACAGGGTCTTACAGCCAGAAAGGAGACAGATCTGAGGCTAGCAACTGACTAAGAGATAAACACAGGCAGGATGGAGAGCAGAGGGGAGAAAGCTGTGATATATTTGGCTGGAATGGAAAGAAACTTAGTGGCTAATTGAATACAGACAGTGAGGTGAAAGTAGGAATCAAAAAACTAATTCCAAAGCCAGGCACCGGAGGCTCATGCCTGTCTTCCTAGCTACTCAGGGGGTTGAGAGCTGAGGATCATGGTTTTAAGCCAGCCCAAGCAGGACATTATCTCCAATTAACCACCAAAGAGTTGTTAGTGGAGCTGTGGCTCAATTAAGGGTGCTTGCTTTGAGCAAAAGAAGCTCAGGGACAGTGCCCAGGCCCTATGTTCAAGCCCCAGGACCTGTGCATGTGTGCGTGCACGCATGCACACACACACACACATTAATTCTGAGGCTTCAAATGGACTCAATATTAGCCACAGATAAAACTGTGAGTGCGTGGGGTGGTGGTGGTGGATGAGAAGATTATCTGTTAGAAATGCCTGTGGATAATTAAGTAGAGACGCTCTACAGACATCTGGAAACACTCTGAAAGGCAGAGGGGGAGAGAGAGATAGAAGAGAGAGACCTGAGAGACATCAGAGCCTCCAGAAAGAAAGGCAGATAAGAAAGTCAGGACAGAAAATGGCTGAGAGGGTAGGTATTACTTTAGGAACAAGTGTTAGAAAATCCAGGACAGGAGATTGAAGAGGGGTTAAGTCGCAGGGGACAGGGCAGGGTTAAGATGGTGCCACCAAGCCGGGCACTGGTGGCTCACGCCTGTAAACCTAGCTACTCAGGAGGCTGAGATCTGAGAATCGCGGTTCAAAGCCAGCCCGGGCAGGAAAGACCGTGAGACTCCTATCTCCAATAAACCACTAGAGAACCGGAAGTGGCGCTGTAGCTCAAGTGGTAGAGCGCTCGCCTTGAGCTGAAGAGCTGAGGGACAGTGCCCAAGCCCAGAGTTCAAGCCCCATGACCGACAAAAAAAAAAAAAGAAGGTGGCACCAACCAGGTAACTGCCAATCATGTCATATACAATGGGCCAAAAAGAGGCCAGGGAAGTTGAAGACCAGAGGCCATTGGCAATTGTAGGGAGTATGGCTAGAATGGAATGATGGAAAAAATTCCAGATTACAGTGGCCAGGAAAAAAAAAAAGGAACAAAAGAAGATGCAGACTGTACTAAAATGGCAAGAAATTCTATTTTTCGGGCCCTTTCTAGGAAACACCCTAAATGATTTTAAGCAGGAGGTTTCTAAATTTTCAGAGCCCTTAAAAAAATAAAGAGGGGTGGCCAGGTGCTGGTGGCTCACACCTGTAATCCTAGCTACTCCGGAGGCTGAGAATCGTGGTTCAAAGCCAGCCCAGGCAGGAAAGTCTATGAGATTCTTATCTCCAATTAACCTCCAGAAGACAGGAAGTGGTGCTGTGGCTCATGTGGTAAAGTGCTAGCCTTGAGCTGAAGAGCTGAGGGACAGCGCCCAGGCTCAGAGTTCAAGCCCCACAGCCAACCAAAAAAAGAGGATCTGGAGACATGGCTCAATTGGTAGAGCACCAGCTAATGAGTGAAAGTGTCAGGTACCAAGTTTGAGTGCCAGTCTTGGACCTTAAAAAAAAAAGTATGTACAAGAAGCGGTGAACTGATGCCAACCACTGGCTTAGAAATGAAGCATCCCAGAGCTCCCATACAATCTGGGGGACGACGACTTCCAAAAGGAGTCAGCCACAATGGACGTCTTGGAAACTCATTTTTTTCCTCTATCGTTTTCACTCTGTTGTGCTGTGCCATCCATTTTTGTTTGTTTTGGGGGCTTTGAACTCAGAACCTGAATGGTGTCCCCATGCTTTTGTGCACAAGGCTCTACAACTTCAGCCAAGGTTCCACTTCCAGCTTTTTTGGTGTTTGGAGCGTCTCACAAATTTTCCTGCTCAGGCTGGCTTTGAACTACAATCCTTACATCTCAGCCTTCTGAGTTGAGTAGCTGGGATTACAGGCATAAGCGACTAGCATCTATACCACTGTGCCATTCATTTTTAAGTTGCCAACTTTTGTACATTCTTCTTCCAGTCAAATAAGAGAACTAGGATTGGGAAACAGTATCAGTCCTCTGAGTCCTGACAGAAGCCGGTAGGGAGGGTGTGGGCATGGGCATCTGGTGGCTTTGTTACCACATCCTAGTTCAAGCCACCAACTCTTCCATCGACTCTGTCTTACTGGGCATTTTCTGTAATTCTCCCTTTCCCCTAATCACGTCACCACTTTGACCTCCAGGACTGCTTTCAGCAGCACAGGGTGATGTTATTATTCTTATTTTAAAGCCAAATGGAACAAAACTTGGCCTCCATCCCACTTTCAGTTAAATTCCTCATTTTCCTCCCTTTTACTCTCCAGTTTCAAGAAAGAACTGTTTAGGCTGACTGATTTCAATCAGTCTCCTCTCATTATCTCTTAAACCAATTCCAAAGGAAATGCAAACTTGGAACTCTGTGTAGGCCACGGACGACCTTCATGCTAGATCCAATGTCATCTCTCAGCAGCTACCTCATCCAATCTAGCCGGATCACCTGGCTTGCTCTCTTCCTCTCTGACAGACTAATTTCTACTAAAGTTCCAGGCCCCCACATGCTCTGGTCTTTCTGTTTCCTCTTCAGCTACTTAGTTTTGTCTTGACTGACTCCTCTTCTGCCGGATTTCTAAATGCTAGAATTTCCTAGAGCTCAGGTGTTTTTCTTTTTTTGGTTGGTTGTGGGGTTTGAACTCTAGGGCTGGGCTCTGTCTCTGAGCTCTTTAGCTCAAGGCAAGTGCTCTACCACTTGAGCCACAGAGCCATTTCCAGTTTTCTGGTGGTTAACCACAGATCTCACAGACTTTCCTGCCCAGGCTGGGCTTTGAACTGTGATCCTCAGATCTCAGCCTCCTGAATAGCTAGGATGACAGGCGTGAGCCACTGGCTCAGGTGTTTCTTAGAGCTTTACACATTAGCTATGTGCTAGTGATCCCATGTTTCTTGTCCCTAAACTACCCCACTCCAGAACCTTGTATATCAAGCTGTGTTTCACATCCCTACTTAGATTTTACTAAGTACCTAAATTTTAAATTTCCCAAACCAAGCCAGGTACCAGTGGGTCACACCTGTAATCCTAGCTACTCAGGAGGCTGAGATCTGAAAAGTGAGGTTCAAAGCCTGCTGGGGCAGGAAAGTGTGAGACTCTTATGTCCAGTGAATCACCAGAAAATCGGAAGAGGCGCTGTGGCTCAAGTGGTAGAGCACTTGCCTTGAGCCCAAGAGCCGAGGGACAGCGCCCAGGCCCAGAGTTCAAGCCCCATGACCATCAAAAAAATAATAATAATCATAAAAAAATCTCAAACCAAGTTTCTCCCCTTCCTTCCCCCAGCTGTTCAGTTTCTCCCTTGCAAGCTGACTCGACTCTCCCACTGCGTGGGCAGAAGCTGTGGAAACTGCCTTTGCTCTTTTTGTCTCCTCACTTCTCACACTGCTCATCTGGTCTTCCAGGCAAATCACAAAATATCTGGAATTCTACACCGGGGGTGTGTGTCCTTACTCTCCCACCAAAGCTCTTCTCGCTGATGTCAGGAAAGATGTTTTTAGGGTGATCACCGCTCATCTGAACTACTTTACGAACTTCCTGACTGGTCTCCTTGCTCCAGACCCTGCTGCCTTTGCTTTATTGGAAACATGATATTCAGACGAGTCCTATACCACCGCAGTATATTGATCTGAAGGCATGTTAGTCAGGACATCCTAGAGACACCAGCACACCCATATCCATTGCAGCACTATTCATGACAGCAAGGTTACGGCAACAGCCCAGATGCCCTACAACTGATGAATGGATTGATAAACTGTAGTAATAGATTCACAGTGAAGGATTATTCAGCCATAAAGAAGAAAAGTATGTCATTTGCAGTAGGGAAATGGAAGGATCTGGAAACCATTATAGTAAGCAAAGGAAGCCAGGGTCAGAGGGACAAAGGTCATAGTTTGTCTATATGGATAGTGGACCTAAAATACAAACACGTAAGCATGGCAAAAGCCTTGTGTGAGTTACCATAGCAAAATCCTTTTGAACACTTAACATGCAACTTTCATGAAACAACTATTAGGAGACTGAAATATATCTGATGCTAGTGGGGAGGGAGGCCGGAGAAAAGAGGAGAAGATGGTCAGAATACTTCACGTACACCGGTGACAATGAAGCAGCGAAGCTTGCTGGGACTGATCTGGGAGGGAGGAAGGGTAGAGGGGTGGCTCTGATCAAGATGGGCATGTTAAATTAACCCCCAGGCACAAATGACTGGCACTAACAGAAACTCATAGACCAATTTTAAAAGTAAAAAAAAAAAAATGTTTTGCCAACTTAACTCAGAATAAAAGTTACAGTGCTTAGAGCCAGGACTCCAAGCCCTGACTGATACAAACTCCCAGTGAATTAAAGCCAGGGCTTTATGTCGACAGCTCTGGCATTATTTGGGAGCTTGTTAGAAATGCAGGATCGCTGGCTGGCCCTGATTCAGACTTCCTAAATCGCAGCCTGCATTTCAATGAGACGTCGAGGCAGTCCACGAGCAGCTAAGGGGGCACCCACGTGGGCCCTCTGCTGCCCTCCCGCTGGCCACGAGGCGGGGGCGTCCTACCACCGCCACAGCTTCCTCTGCGTAGGAACACTTCCCCAGACAGCAGCACGCCGGCTGCACGGCTTCCATGGGGAGGTCATTAGTCTGTCACTGTCTCATTTAATGCTTTCTGGGCCGCTCTAGAAGCGCACCCCCAACACTCCTGGTTCATCCTCAAACTCTTCTTTGTTAATCCAGTCATTACCAAGGTAGCAGCATGCATTTTACTTGGGTATTCTGTTTACAGTATCTGACTCCACCAATGGAATTGGCGCTCTAAAAGGAGTAAGACTGTTGTTGTCTGTTTTGATCATTGCTTTAGATCGAATGCCTAGAACATCAGCACAGAGATACTTGGAAAATTTTGATTTAATGAACCAGATTTAGGAACTAGGCAGCCTTTGGAACAATTTTATGAGCAGTGAGGTCAAATGGCAGATATTAATGAGGTAAGAAATGAACGTGAGGGAAGGAAACAGAATTACAGAGTAGAAGCTATTTTTTAAAGTGCTCCAAAGAATATTAAAATAATTCATCTTCAGGATTAGCTAGCGCCTTAATGTATTTGTGATTATATTTCCTCTTTGGTGAGTAACTTCTTAATACCTGGAAAAGATAAAGAATTCAAGCAGAACCGAGATTTTCAAGGTGAGACGTGAGCTCGTGCTAGTCTCTTCCTCCACAAGGAGATGGGGTGGGGGTGGGGCAAGCAGAGGAAAGGGGGGCCAGCTAAGGTTCCCCATCATCTTGAATAAAGAACCATATTAAAAACCCTGCCCTTCGAAAAAAACATGATTTCAAACAGCTCTGCAAGTTGATGAGCAAATTCATTTGTGTTTTAGAGCGATCACTGTGGCAAGCTGTTGCTTAGTGCTGACTGCTAGGCCCGTATAGCTGCAGGCTCAGAGCGCTGCAGAGAGCGGAGAGCAGATTACAACTCTGAAAAGCACGATAAATGTGGCTTCTACTCATTTTTTGTGTTTTTGTTTTTTGGTGCCAGTACTGGGGCTTGAAGTCAAAGCTGGCACTCTACCACTTGAGCCACACAGCTCCACTTCTTTTAGCTGGTTCACTGGAGAGTCTCACAGAGTGTCCTGCCCGGGCTGGCTTCAAACCTCGCTCTCAGCCTCCCGAGTAGCTGGGATTACAGGTGGGAGCCCCAAATGCAGAAAGAAGCTTTGTTTTGACTCCTGTGTAGAAGTCCAATGTCCCGGAGCAGCTGCTTACCCAGTCGTATTCAGATCGTGACTTTCCTTGGAGCCATCTTCATCTGCAAATAAGGGTGGCAGAGCGGAGCTAGACATCAAGCCTTCCATCTCCCTGAAAGGAAGAGCATTAAAAAAATAATAATAATTAATGGCTTAATTACTTCCAGTCCACGTTCCACTACTTTCAAAGCCAGCCTTCCTTAACATATCGCATCAGCAGCAGAACAGAAACTGACCTAAATATTTATTTTCCTGACTTGGGACACATCCATTTAAGCTCCATGGTAAATGGGCTTTTAACTCAGGCCTTAGCCAGTGACCACACTAAGAACATGTTGGATTTTAACAAATGGGACATGGTTTGGGAAATTCCTCTTAATTCATCATCAAAAGCCCTGTTCATTTCCTGTAGAAACTGTTAGTTAAGCGGGGAAGCCCCAGAGGCATCGCCACCCTGCCCCACTGCCTTCCAGCAAGGTATTTAACATCCTCAAGTTGCAATTTGCCCATCTGAACCTAGAGAGTTGCTAAGAGGGATTAAAGGAAAAGTAATTCATGAACAGAGAAAAACAAAGGCCAGGGCCAGCCAGGGCTCTGAGCATATTCTATAAAGGAGAGTATTGTCATTACAGCATTCATTACCCATTCCCCATCCCACAGGAGTCAGGCTTACATTAAATGATGACAAACTGAGCCCTCCAGGAGGAAATAACACACAGGAAGAGGAGGGTGGAAGGCACACTGATGTGGTTCTGAGTCAAAGAAACCACACTTCCAGGTCAGAAATATATGGTCAGCAGCAGCAGCAGCAGAAATAGCATGCACCTGGCTACAGGAAAACAGCTCAGCTTCATTGGAGAAAACAAATAAATCACCACCACCTGAGCTTATCATACCGGAAGGATAAAAGGACAAGAGAGAGAGTTAATTTCGTTTAGCATATCACTACAAGAATTTGTTTTCTTCCCTTTTCAAGCCTTACTACCAAGGGCTTCACCCCATAGAGCTGAAAGCAGCAGCCTCCCATTCATCAGGAGAGCGACCGACACCAAAACACTCCACAGTGACCCTAAGCGCCAGCCACTTAAGTGCAACTGCAAATCACTCAAGACAAAGAGCCTCCATCAAGGGCATCTGGGAACTGAAGGCAGTCCCAGCACGGAGCCTTCTCAGTCTTCTCAGGTGCAGCCAAGAAGCCCCAGGGAGGTGGGGAAGAGAAGCCCAGAGGCCACAGAAGCGCCACAGCGAGCCACGGCTCACCCGGCTCAGGGGGAGGAAGCAGGAAGAATCGCAGGAGACACCCACGCTGCATTTTCTCTGTTCAGTGGCGTGATTCATTTCTCAAACATGAATCCTGATGTCTTATTTCTTGTTCTCGGGTTCACTTCTAAGTTTCAAACGCAGCAGATCAAGAGCCCTCCACAGCTCGGCGAGGGCGGGCATCTCTGTGCAGCTCCCCCGCACTGAGTAGAGCCGGGAAGGCAGAGAGCAACTTCCCACTCAGCTCCAGAGTCCCGCATGCATTCCTTGTACACAGGACCATGTTCAGTGTTGACAAATGGAATGGGAGCTAGCCAATACCACAGAATGCCATTCTCCATGTTTTCTAGAATGAGCCAGACTCAACTGTACCTGAATTTCAACTGACATGATACAAGACGCTGCCTTTCAGGGCTGTTAACATTACCCAACTTTAGTGCTAATATTCACTTTACCAAAAACAAGTTTTAATGAGACGCCAGACAGCCTGATCAAGGAGCAAACATTTTAAATTCACAGGCACCTACCCTAAACTGACCGAGGAGTCCCTGGAAGTTGCCTGGCCTCTCAAGAAGCTTAAGATGCAGATTGTGGCGTTCTTGGCATGGCTCCTAACACCTCAAAGGGAGATGTACTATCTGGTGGGGGACGAATGAGGTGTCATTTCATTCGCGCTGTCAACAGGGACCTCTCAGAGCGACCCTCAGATATCTTTAGTCGTTTCTGAAATGTGGGAAGGCAGCTGGATAACACAGCCTTAACAACATATAAACAGACCGTGTAAACAGAGGAAGTTGGGAGAACACACATTTCTTCCTCCCCCACCCCTCACCCCTTCTGCGCCCTTAAGTTTGTTTTACTCAACCCATATGGCTTCCAGGGTTCGGACAAGTACTCAGACTCCTAAGAAATGACTAAGAAAGTGGGTGGAAGGTGAAAGGGCCAAGACCAACAAAAGAAGGAAATGAAGAAAAATCCCAGTGAAAGCCAGAGGCCTCTAAGCTATGCAGTAAGTTGGAAAATAAAACAATTCCTAAGAATGTGGCTCGGATCCTGCCAGACTGCTTTCATCCGGCTCGCAAGGGGGTGATCCAAACTCTGTCATGACTACTAAACATCCAGTGTCTAAGGCCCTTCCAGCCCAGCATCTGTGCCTGATCAAGTCTTGCTGCAGAGGTCACCCTCAACTCTGAAATCCCATGCATTCAAGAAATGCAATGCATGCTACCCTGGAAGGGAGAGTAGTGTGTGGCATGTCTCTGGGGGCGGGTCACCTGCAAAACCAGCCTCCCACTCAGACATTTCTCTGCAGAAGGGACTCACCCAAGTCCAGCAGCCTAAGACTTCAAAAACCGTATCACTAGCTGGGTGCTGGTGGCTCACTCCTGAAATCCTAGCTAGTCATGAGGCTGAGATCTGAAGGTCACAGTTCAAAGCCCTTGGGCAGGAAAGATCATGGGACAATTTCAAATTAGCTATCAAAAAAGCCAGACGTAGGGCTGGGAAGGTGGCTCAGTGGTAGAGTGCTTGCTTCGCATGCATGAGGCCCTGAGTTTGATTCCTCAGCACCTTATAAGCAGAAAAAGCCAGAAGTGGCGCTGTGGCTCAAGTGGTAGAGCGCTAGCCTTGAGCTGAAGGACAGCACCTAGGCCCAGAGTTCAGGCCCCAGGACCGCCAAAAAAACAAAACAAAAAAGCCAGAAGTGGAACTGTGGCTCAAGTGGTAGAGTGTTAGCTTTGAGCAAAAAGCTCAGAGACAGTGTCTAGGCCCCACGGAAACACACACACACACACACACACACACACACACACACACACACACACACACACTACTGTGGAGATTACACTTTGAACCAGAGTCTGGACCTTAGCTTTGGAGATTCCAAAATTCCCTGCTATGTTCTATTTCTTGCTGAAAAGAAAAAAAATAAAGAACCAAACAAACAACCTGATGTGTAATATAAAGAACCAATTTAAGATATCTTAATAACACATAGAATTGTAATGAGAATTATATTAAGGATATTTATTGTCCAAGGGACACATTCTCTCTGTAATACCAGGAGCAAGTCATAATCAGAATGTGGGTTTGGTCATTTAGGGCTAGAAAACAGGAAATTAGCTTCCGTTTAAAAAATGTTCCTCTACTAAGATTGTTCTTGCAGCCTTTGCTAACGACGGGTTGGTCACCTGTGAGACCACACTTGTTTGGGGTTGGCGCCTCTCAAAGTGCTCATCCTTACTTTCCACGTGTCAATTCGGCATCCTCAGATCATCTCAAGGAAATGCTCCAATTCCTTCCCTACCATTCCCTTACCCCATCATAAATCTCGGCTGGTAGGTGGTGGCATTCTGCCCTTATTCTTCTTAGTGCAACCCCGTGTACAAAACCCCTGGTTCCCTTGAACACCAGATCACTTAGCTACATAAACTTCAAGTTCAAAAATCATTACGCTGAAGCACTGGTGGTTCATACCTGTAATCCTCGCCATTCAGAAGGCTGAGATCTGGAAGATCATGATTTAAGGCCAGCCTGGGTAGAAAAGTCTGAGAAGTAACTAGCACATAAACCTAGAGTGGGAGTTATGGCTCAGGTGTGGTAGTGCCAGCTGAGCAACCACCAGGCCCTGAGTTCAAATCCTAGTACTGTGTCAACAGCAGCAGCAGCAGCAACACAAACCTTTTAGCCAAAGAAACTTTTATTTCCTGACCCTTGATTTTTTCCTTTTCCGTCCACTTAAAATCTGTGGCTATTTCAAATATTCTTTGATTAAACTTTTTTTTTTTTATTTTGGTCAGGTGTGGGGCTTGAACTCAGGGCCTGGGATGCTGTCCCTGCGGAGTCTACCACTTGAGCCACAGCACCACTTCCAGTTTTTGAGTGGTTAATTGGAGATAAGAGTCTCATGGGGACTTTTCAGTCTGGACTGGCTTTGAACCACGATCCTCACATCTCAGCCCACTGAGTAGCTGGATCACAGGTGTGAGCCACAACACCCTGTGTCTAATGGATTTTTTTTGCAGAGGACACATTTTACTTTTGTCAAAACTCACAGAATGAAGCCACCATCAATTATGGTGATAACACATCACAGTGGTTTGTGGATTGTAACAAATGAGAGCAATAACTTCTGGCACAGGATGCTGGCAGGGTGGGGATCAGAGTATATAAGAACTGTACTCTGGATGGGAAGGGGAGACAAAGGAGGAGGCTGCAATGCTTGATAAGAAATGTACTCATTACCTTGCCCATGTCATTGTAACCCCTCTGTACAGTATTTTCACAATAAAAAAAAAAAAAAGAAAAAAAAAGAACTGTACTCTCCCTAAAACTGCTCTTGGAAATGTTTATCCATTAAAGAAAATACTGTATTAGATTATGGTTTAAAAATAATCATAATTATATAATGTAACATGTAAAACTGTTATGAGCAGGCTGATCCGAGGAGGCACAGAACTGAGGGAGGAAGTGGAAGTACAAGGCGCCTACCAGCTGGAACACTTAGCTGGAACATTTGGGAGGCTGTGGGCATTAATCAATACGTTTTACAGCAGGATGGAGAACACTGGCTAATCCCGGTAGGCAGTTAACTCGGGCTCAGTTAAGTGAAATCCAGTTAAGAACTCCTTTACTGTAGGATTTTACATGGGAGATGAGAGGTAATCTGAGAGTAAGCACTTACATTTTTTTTGGGGGGGAGGGGAGGAAGGACTGAAGTAGAGCGAGTCAATTAGTGGAGGAGGCTCTTAAGTGATGCTTCAGGAGATAGGCAGAGACAGGTGTGGCTGTGCATGCCTGTAATTCCAGCACATGGGAGGATCACTGAGTTCAAAGCTATATAGCGACTTTTTT